TGCGGGACTCGATCCCAGTACTCTGGGATCATGACCTGAGCCGAAGGCAGACGCTTAACCATCTGAGCCACCCAGGCGCCCAAAAGTTTTATTTTTATAACATATGAAGTTTAGAAACATAAAAATAATCAAGACTCTTCTTCATTTTTCTAGAAATTACTTTTCGTAGTTTATTGGGTGTTCCACATTTTCAATTTTCTTCACATTGAGCACTAATGTTTTCCATCTGAACTGGCAATGAATAATTAACACTACTAATTAAACAAACTCAAGGAAATATGAATTCAGGAAAACTACTCAGTTTTCATACAGAATTCCTTGTACTCTCCATACTTGCCTGGACTTTCCCCAATATTCACTGTTACTAGACACTATCTCCATTCATCTATCCTCCTGGAAATAATCAGGGAGTGTGGCCTGTCATACTTAACACTTATTTCAAAGCCTGTGGGCACTCAAGACCTATAAGAATGATTTTTTTTAAGGTGGAACATAAAGCTAACAGGATATGTGTGTCTTATAGAAAATCATGAACTGGTCTGTCTTTTGGTTTGAAAGGAGTTTTTTGTTTTGTTTTTGTTTTTGTTCTTGTTTCTGAGTTTTAATGAAGAGCTGTATAAGCTTTAGAGACCCTCAAGCACCCTGAGAAAAACTAAGAGAATTTTTAAAATTTAATCATAATGTCCCCTCCCTCTCCCCTCTAGATTTTCAGAACACCAACATTTTGTGTGATGGTCATACAAAGGCGGTTACCCCCTGCCTCTAAAATTCCTATATTCGCAGTTGCAGCTGCTTATTAGAACAAGATTACTGAATATTTCTATTCATCATCACTTTTGTCAGATAATAATGATGGGTATTTCTAGGCATATTTTAACTTCAACAATAAATTGGCCAACAGGAAATTTGAAAAATGAGTTTCTTATGAATGTAGCTTCCGTCAATATGTCACACCTTCATTTAACCAATGGTTATTTAAAATTCTCTCTACTTTCATGATATGACAATCCCTTCAAAATGTATGCTATTAACATGTCTAAATTGGGAAAACATCTGATCTGTCAAATTATTTGGGGGGCTTGTTGTTTTAAGTACATTGTTTGAGGTGGCATATTTGGAAAGAATTCACTTATCACTCTCAGGCTTCATAGAGAACTAGCCTTGAAAACAAATGTATGTGGTAGTTCACTGCTACCATAGAGAATCAATAGCCATCTATTTAATTTGCTAAGACAATGTAAATTAGTAACTTCCAGCCAGATGTGTGATATACACATCAAACAAACTGCAACCTGTTCATTATGAAAATCCTGTCAACACACACAGAGCCACTTGATGACATTTCATCTTCCACATTTGCAGCTATAAAAATTGTCCTAAGAATTTTTATACAAAGAATTGGAGTTGAGACTCATAAAAGGGTAATCAATTTCAGCTTTTCATCTTGTGTGCTTCTGTGTGTTTATTTCTATTTTCATTCGGAGGTAGAAAACATTTAGAAAAATATGAGCCATGCTATTTTTCCTTCTGTAAATCATTTATCCTCATTACATCTTTTTAAGCTGATGTAGAGTTGGTAGCCTAATCCTGCAGCTCTGGAGAAGTGTGTGAAGTGAAGAATGACAGAGTTAACAGAAGAAAGGAAGTACACTTATCCACTGGAAAACAAAACAGAATATTTCAAAATGACTCCAAACATAAATTAAGTTTACCCATTGGGAGGTCTAACTTGCATTCTGATCATTTATATGGGTCTGTGTGACTATATACCCTGCTGTTTGATAAAAAATGATTACTAACCACAGGCACCCACCAGAGAACAGAGTGTATGTATAATGCTTGTGATGTCTCAGACATACAAAGCACCTTCTTAAAGAATGTCCGTTTCCTTTCCATGGTAAGCAGACATAATTTTTCACTCCTTAATACTTCTGCTTCACAGAGTGGCTTATTTTATGAGTTATGTTTTGCCATTTTCTCTTATGTTTATTTTAATAATATAAAAAATTGCTTTCATAAAATAGATGGTTTTGTTTCATGATACCCAAAATATTGGTATGTTTGCTGCTCTGTATTAAAATCCACAGCTTTCTTGCTATTACAAAAACCTAACAGTATTTATTTCAGTACCATTCATTAAATGAAAGGAATAAAAAGATTCTTCTTAATAACCAGCTATTATTCTTGAATACTGAATCCTCATTTACACCAAATTCATTTCCCAAGTCTATTGAATTAAATTATCTTATTAAACAGGACACAGAGTAAATAGTCTATTGCCAAGCACAATATTTTCAAGTACTACATTTTTAACTCAGCAATTTAAAACAACGTGGAATGAATCTAGTCCTCATGGCCTGTAGTATAGTCTGATTCCAAATAGTACCCCTTAACCAACTCCTAATGTGAAAATAGCATTTCTACTAAGTGCCGGGTGTGTCAATGCTTCCAAAGTAAACTCCTGAGGTCCCCTAAAATCACAAAAATTTCAGTGACTACCAAAAAAACCCGGCAACTGTGCACACAAAAGGGCTCTTCATAAAGGCTTCCAACCTGAGCAATTCGACTTCACAAACATTATACAGAAGGTGCTTTCTTCACCAGCCACACACCATACCACGTGATCAGCCTGCAGGGCCACACCGCCGACCAGACACGATTATTGTTTCTAGAAAGAATAAGGCTCAAATGCCGCCACCGCGTCTGTCCAGCCATTTGTGCCTGTAGGTGGCACCGCGAGACCAGCTCTTCACCTCGTGATGCGGTCACACGACGCGCGGGGCCTGGGCACCGGCCAAGACTTGCAGCATTAGCTCGGGTCCCTTTGCTTCCTGGAGGTTAAACTCAGACCCTCCTGGTCACTTAAACCCCCTTTGTGGTTCAGCGTAAGAATCACTCTCTCAGAACTCTTAACTTTGATTGGAGACTCTGGTTAATATTAAGAACTTCAAACCCAGATTTGAAAAAGTGAAACAGATGTCCTGTTTGTTAACCATAAATGGCTCCGTACGTCGGATGCTTTCCTCTCTCTCTCTTTTCTTTCTGCCGTATTAAGTTTTATTTAATGCAGAGTTTGCTTAAAAGGTTAAAAGAGAGAGAGAGCAGAAAGCAAATATAGACTGTGGATGGAAAAACTCCCAAGTCTTTCCCTAGAATATAACGAAGGAAGCTTCTTCATAAAGATGAAAGTGCTCAAGCTGCCGTCTCCCAGCACAGCCTGCATTCGGGGTCAGAACCTGCGTCCCAGTGGACCCCAGCCTCCTCTAACCCGCAGTGCCCACCACCCGCACCCTCCTGGAGACCAGGGTTGCCTGGAGTGGGCGAAGGGTTCCAGATTTGCACTCACGTGAGGACATAGTTGACGCTGACGATACAGTGTGGCCTGGATGAGCGGCTGTTGTGGACGATGGTCGCATAGCTCTGTACCCATACCCAGCCGCCGTGCTTCGCCAGGAACCTGTAGTACTTGGTGGTCACCTGCCCCTTCACGAGCACTGATGGAGAGACAGGAGGCAGCTGGGGGTGAAGGAGCCCGCTCAAACGCAAACCCTGGCGGTGGGAGTGCAGGTCCCTACGGGCTCTGACAACTGCGCCAGGCAGGAGGGAGAGACAACCCGTGCATTCCCAAAGGAATCGACTGTCCTGTTACTTTGCATTGAGTCCTCCAGTCCCTTGCGATTGGCAAAGCGGTGGAGGGCGCTTAAAATAGGGGGATTTCCCCATTCAACTTTCTAAGGAAGGTAGTGTCTGGGCAGCTGAACTCCGAGGCTCATGGTCCCTGTTCCCGGAGATTAAGTTCAAAGCAAAGCTCTATCAAAAGCCGAAGCAGATCAGTGCACGTGAGCCAAGTGGCCTAGCCCCAGTTTTTATTCACGTCTTCAGTGAGGTTTGCAGAGGGCAAGGAGAGGGAAGCAGAAAACCCCTCCTGGGGGAATTTACCCAGAAACTCAGAAACTCGTCCCGCGGATATTAGAGGAACAAGGTGGGGCTCAGCGTTGGAGCGGCCGCTCGCTGGCAAGGACCTTGCACCACCACCACCACCCCCCCCCCCCCCGCTACCAGGGCTTCCACCCATCCGCTTACTGTGGACTTAAATCACGCCCTCTCCCCTCCCCGGGACGCGCTGGGGTTAGTCCGGTGCCGGGAAGAGCGGCGCCTTACGCAGGTGGTGGGCGCAGCGCAGGTGGAAGGTGTCGCAGCCGTGCACGTGGTGGTACAGGGTCTTCTCAATTAGGTCCTGAGGTTCGTACCCCGTCAGCTCCGCTACTCTGCGGAGAGCAATCCTCGCGGCATGAACTCAGGGTGCCGGGATGCCCCCCACCCCCCAGACAGCCTCCTCAGACCTGGGTGCCCGCCCCCACTTCGCAGAGGCCGGTGAGTCGCCTCATCTGCAAAATGGGCTCCGAAGGTCAAGGAAGAGCTCTCAGACACTAAGCAGGGCCGCCCTCCCGCTCGGGTGATCCTTTCCCGCCTGAGCCACCCACCTGGAGTCCAGGAAGATGAGCTTCATGTCCAGGCTGGCGCGGAACATGAACATGTTGCTGTGCAGCTTGATCTCCGTGACGGCGCTGGGAGGCAGCGAGTGTCCCACGGCTACCAGGCCCACGTTCTGGTAGCAGCCATCGAAGGGGGACATGTCCAGGCTGTACTGGCGGATCTTCAGGTAGCCGCTGCAGTGAATGACCTGTAGTGGGGGGCGGGAAGACTCAGCCACAGCCAGGAAACATCCCCAAAAAGGTGGGTAAGGGATTGAAACATTTTGAGACTCCCCCGGGGCCACAAAGGCCGTGTGGGCCACGCCCCGCACTGAGGTGTCCAAACTTATTGGTGTTCCAGCGTCTCACAGGAATGACTGTCCTGCCACACAGAACTCACCTGGGAGCTTGTAAAAATACAGAGGCTTGGCAACACCTGCCAACCCTAACTCCTCAAAATCGGGAAGTGGGGCCCTGGAACCTGCCTTCTAATCGTGTTTCCTCTCATTAAACAAGAGAACCATGGATTCGACCTAAAGCTCTGGTTCTTAACCCCTCTGGGGGTCGGAATCTGACGCTGTGAGTAAACTCCAGGATCCGCCAAAATGAATGACCATTTCAGACGCTTTACACACCCCCAAGGCCCATTATGAGCCCCAGATTAAGAGTCCCAGCGGCCGGGCAGTAACCGGACACAATGAAACTAAGTCTTTAAACTTAGTAGTCCCCAAGTGTTCACAAAGTTCAACAACTCTCGAGGTGCTCCCGGGCAGACAGCGCTGTGGCGCGTGCAGGGGGATGCCCTCCGGGGCAGTCAGGGACGCCGAAATGTCCCTCCCACGCCGCCAGCTCCTCTTGTCCTGCCCTTTTCCGCTACACGCGGCTGGGATGGTCCCTCTCAGCCACGTACCTTGTAGCCACCACAGGTGAGGCCCGCGTTCCTCTTGGCCAAGACGCACTTCATCCTCAGGAAGAAGGAGCGCTCGATCTCATACTCTGGGAGAGAGGAGCGGAGGGAGGGGCAGGTCGTGAGCCAGTGAAACGGGTGGGGCCGCGACCCAGTCCCTGCCCCTGCAGTGGCTAATTGGGGAAAAGCAATAAGCGAGGGGAGATGAGCCCAAGTGTCGCCGGTCCTCACTGCTTACCCTGGACGAAGTGAGAGTGGTAGGGCTGATGGGCCGTGAGCACAGCAGTCATCTCGTCGTGGTCCGCTGGGTGGATGTATTCATAAATGCTGTTCCCAGTCAGCTCTACCTGTAAAGAGGGGGGTATCACCTTCTCCGAGGTGGTGGAATGCCCCGGCAGGGCTAGAAGATTGGATCAGGGAGTCTACAGGACTGTGAGGACAGGAGCCAGAACTTTAGAGTCAGCCCTGAGTTTTAATTCCCGTTCTGCTGCCGGCTACCTATTGCAGTCTATCTAAGCCTCAGCTCCCTCATCTATGAAAGGAAATAATGATAATATAATAATAGTAATTAGAGTAGCAGTACAGCAGTGCCCTGACAATGTTCAGGTGAACACATCAGACATTAGTAAGTAAACAACACCCATGGTGTTGGACTTACGGTAGGGACTCTAAAAGGCAGCAGGATAAGGGGTAAGGATAAGGGAAGTAGAGGAAAAGGGAGATGCAGACCTGCCAGCTGAGATGTTTCCAGTCCCAGAAATGCACATATAAGAGCTGTGGGAAAGCACCCGCACCCTTACCGCGGGCCTCCAGCTCTCAGTGTAAACATGGAAGGCTGGAGGTGTGGACCACTCACCTACCTGAGAAAGACCCAGGTGGACTGAGGCTGTCTCCGAGATGTACATGATCTTCCCATCTGGGGCCACCACAAAGATGAAGCCATCCAGGGTCTAGGGAGATAGAAACAGAGTTAAATGGAGACGACCCCCTCCCCCGCCCGGGGCCATGGGGAGAAACTGGGGTTGGGGGCAGAAGTTAGAGATGTTCAGTCAGGAAGAGCGGACAGAGGGGATAGAGAGAGGCTGATAGGAAATAGGGCGTAGAAAACTTGCCACAAGAGTCCCTCTCTTGTTCATTCCAAATATGTAAGCATCTGGGACATGCAACACACTGGGAGATGCCCGGAGGAAGTAGCTGGCAAGGCTACTGCCCTCCGAGACTCGGGATTCACCAAAATGGACAATACAGACATATCTATAGCATACACACACACAAATACAGGGGGCAGGGGGTCACAGACTGTGATAAGAAGGTAGGTTCTTGGGGTGATGGTCACTGAAAGAACGAAAGGTTTCCTGTTTCAGTCTTGGAGGACTCCATAGTGGCAGCATCCTATAATGGAAAGAGTACCAGCAGGGCTGGGAAATGGGCACTGAACCATATGGAAGGGCTGGTAGCCTGAAAAGTTTGTAGACAGAAGGCAGCTGCTCAATAGCTCCAGAAAGAATCTGGGAGAAGGGGTTTAGGAAATGAGAGGCTTTCCAGGCAGCAAGTCTGTAAGAGTAGTGGTATAGTGTGTACATATGTGTGTTTATGTTGATGCATCAAACTGACAGGCTTTCCATGAAAGAAAGTCTTAGACTTTCAATATCCCTTTATCTCTGTGAATGAGGCTTCAGTCCAGGCAGTGGGGACATAAAGATGAGTCAGATCCTGCTCTCAAGTTGCTGGAAGTCCAGCAGCAGTAACTGGCTAAAGACAGATATAATGACCACACAGCTGAATAGACAGTGTTGTAGGGCCACAGAGGCTGAGGGGCCAGAGGCCTGCGGGAGAAGCAGAGAGGCCTCAGAGGAACTATTTGAGCAGAGCCTTGAAGAGGAAGCTTGAACTGGAGATGGGAGAAAGGGTATCCTAGGCAGAAGGAATGACGTGAGAAAGGCAGGGACTGGGGGGAGGGTGTATCTGGTGTACTCAGGTGTGATGGATTTGGTGTGCCAGAGATGGGCTAAGAAAGTACACCACTGCTGGGTTTTTGGAGAATTTGAGATATCAGTTTGAGGAATTTGGAGATGCTCTTGTAGGCATCAGGTTTCCAACAGTTTCTACACAAGTAAGCAGGGAAATAGCATGCTTAGGGGTGTGTGTGTGTGTGTGTGTGTGTGTGTGTGTGTGTGTGTGTGCCTTGTTTCATTTTGTTTTGTTTTTAATGGCAGAATGTGGACAGTGACCTACAGGAGGAACAAGTGGGGATGAAGAGATCAGAGATGGTTGAGCCTAAATCTGGGTGGTCACCGGTTGGTGATAAAGAGGGAGAGTTTAAGTCAAAGATGGTTCTAGCTGTGGAATTTATAGTGGCAGAAAGAGAAGCTGAGAGGGACTTCAAGGTCATTGAGTAGAGGGTAACACCATGAACCAAAATTGAAAATTTAGGGAAGCATGGTGAGTTTTTGTATGAGTGGCAGTCTGGAGGAGGGAAGAAATGAATTCTTGTCTTGGAGACGCTAAACTTCACGTTTATGCAGATTTCCAGTTGGCAGTAAGAAATAAAGGTCTGGAGCTCCAGAAGGGTGTCTAGACTGGAGAAACCAGCTGGAGTCATGCAAATGTGGGAAAGAAGTTGAGGTGATGGTTTTGGCTGAGATCACCCATGAGGCCTTGAAGTTGTGAGAGGAGAAACAGAGGTGGAACTTTGGAGAAATGCCAGCATTTACAGCCAGACAGCAAGGGGGAAACCAGAGGAGCAAGTAGAGAGGGAGAAGAATCCAGGAAATTGTGTTACTTTAGAAGCCAAGGGAGAGGGTGAATGTCAAGTAAGCAGTGCCACCTCTGTCAGGTACTTGCCCCAATGTCCCCTTCTCAGTGAGGTCCTCTATAATGTCTCCATTTTAAGTGGCACTACTGAAACACAGCCCCCCCCCGCCCTTCTTATGTTTCTCCACAGCACCTACACCACCTGTTACTATGTTATACTATGTAAAGCACCTGTGTGGGTTTGCAAGGCTGCTCTCCTTAGAATGTAAACTCCATGTGGGCAGGACATTCTGTCTGGCACACAGTTGGCCCTCCTATATTTGTGGAATGAACAAAGTCGGGTAGGATAAGAGATGAGCATCTTTATGCTGGATATCAAAATGTGGTGGGGCCAAGACAGAGCACAACAGTTAGGAGAGATGCCAGACTGCAAGGGTGTGGAAGTGAGGGCAGCAGGCAGTGATGGAAACTGAGGGGGTAATTAAGTCCTTCCAGCAGTGTGGGATGAAGAAGAGGGAAAAGATTGGGCAAGAACTAGGAGTGGAAGATTGTTTGGGTTTCATTCTCTTTTTTATATTGATGAGGGAAATTAGCTGGGAGCATGGAAAGACTGGGGGGGGTGGCGCTTTTTGAGAGACAACTGATGAAAGGTGTCCCTGAGAAAGGAGAGGGACAAGGCCTTTCTATTTAATTCAGAGGTTTGGAGGCCAGGCCTGTGAGGGAATGCTTACATGGGCCTTTCTGTGTGCTCTGTGACAGGAGAATCTCTTTGGCCTCCAGGACTGAGGGAGGGACAGCGTAGGACAGGGGAAGCCACAGCACTCCTGCCGGGCCCAGGAGGAAGAACCAGCTCAGATTCCCACCATGCTATTTAGGTTTGAGGCTCCCACATGAGGAGCTGGCGGTGGACATGGATAATAATAAGGGGGTGGAGGGTGGGAGACAAGTGTCAAGCCTAAAAATGCCACCGGGAGTTTTGCTATTTTAAATATTTGCTATGCGACTTAAGCGGGCAACGGGCAATTTAAAACGGTGTACATTGCAAACAAGGCGGTAATGGGCGCCTCCACATTGGGTAAACTCATTACCTGGGGAGCTGTGTGTGTGTACGTGAGGGTCTGTACACGGGTTGGGCTGGCCTGGGGTGAGAGCTCATGGAGAGAGAGGAGAGGGCCCGCGAACTACAGGGAGGAGACGAAAGAGTTGCAGACGCAGCTGGATCCGGAATGTGTGGGCTTAAAGCATTGATGGGCATTTCTACCAGATTCCCGTTATTCCTGTGTAAATCCTTCATTTCTGGCGGTTTTGCAGCCTGGCCCGGCGCGCTCCCGTTCCTTCAGCTGAATGGTGTCGAATGGTGCTCCCTCCCTCGGTTCAGCCATCCTGATTTGGGGCCTTGCGGGACTCCCTTCTAAACCCAACGTACCCATTGTCACCTTGCCTTCCTCTCTGCCTCGAGAGGTGCCATCAGCACCCAACGAGGTTAAGAACTCAACTTTTTAATTTTGAAGAAGCTGTAGGGGCTGCGAGAAGGCTACGTCTGCGCCTCATCCCATTTCCCTAAAAATCAAGAAGCCCGGCGCTGGTGCCAAGCACCCGGGCCCTCGAAGCATGTGTGCCTCCGCGCCGGTACCTGGAGCAGATGGGAGCCCAGTTCTCTGCCCACGTTGTCCAAGGGGCTGGTGCGACTCGAGTGGCCCCACGCCTCGCCGAGCCCTGTGGAGACACAGAGACACCCTTTAGCGATGGGACTCCGACCTGGCTAGCAGTTTGAGCCTAATCTCGCGGTTCTGTCACACACAGTTCGCACCCATGACTGGATACCATCCGAGATCCCCGGCACCAGGACAGCCTGGGACTCGAGCCGGTAAATTTCGGCCCCGCCCTCTCCACTTACAAAGGACTGCGTAGAGGTCAGACTCCCCCTCCCGGACCGCTTCTCAGGAAGGGCAGGGCCTTGGCGGAGCGCCCCTCCTGGCAGTACCCCAAGTGGCTGAATTTGAGGACCGCCTGTGCCCCGACGGGGCCGACACCGAACCCCCGCGGTAACTTTTGGGTAGGTTCACTAGTGTGCTTAGACGGGTGAGGGACACTACTTCTCTCCCAAAGTTTCATCATCTTCCTTATCAGGAGGCCAAGGATGTCCACACATCAAGGGAATGCCGCGGCGAATACCTGAGGCTTCGAGCCAGGTCCAGCTGGCCCTTGATGGGCTTTCTCATTGGCTGCGGGGCTCTCCAGCTATTTTCCTCCCCTAGGCCTCTGACTTTGATTCCCTCCGTAGAAATCCGTTTGCTTGCGAATGGCTTCCAGCACCAACATCCCAGAGCAATCCTTCCTCTGCTTCCCCACCTAGCCAGCCCTCGACTTACACGTCCTAACTTTGACTCAAAAAAAAAAAAAAAAAAAAAGGTATACGCTCTTTTGAAGTTACTTTCAGGTTCTCATACCGTCTTAGCAATATTCCCGTTCCTTATTGGATATAGACAATCATTCCGTTTCTCTACTTTCCAGGTACCATCTATTAACAAAGTCCCTTTCTCTCCTCGATGCTACCACGTTAAGATCTTTCCAGGCTTTGCCAGAAATCATTTCTCCGGTGATGCCTAAAAAATAAAATTCTCTGAATACCTGTGGCTGATTTTTTAAAAAAATTAATATGGAATCTGCTATAGTACCTGTTTGTAGAAAGAAAATGAAAAGGGAAAAAAAAAAAAAAAGCCAGAGGAAACCTGAGGAGACAGAGGTTATACTACCTGTAACTACTTACAGGTAATATTTTTTAACAGTGTTGCTGCTGATTTAACTAGGTAGTTAAACTCTTTTATTCTTACACCAATAAACAAGGTTTAACATGACAAAAAGGGGGATGATTTACTGATTTACTGCATTAAAGTACAAATCACTGTGAAGTACACAATGACAGACACACTCGCATTGTAATATGGGGGTGAGGGCGGATCTTTCAGAATAAAAGATGGAGTTGGACTCTTAAAATGTGTTGGCCAGGAGCTGCTTCCTAAGCAAGCGATCAAAACCCTGGTAACGAGTAACCATGAGCGCCCCTTAAGCTCGAATCGGGTCTTTCTGGGTGTTTGCACATCTAAATAAATCTAACGATTTCCCCACCGCTCTGCAAACACTGAGGCTCCCGCCCGCGGCCGGACTCCTCTCCCTCCCTCGCCTCTCGTCAATCCCGCCTGCCTCTTGAGCCCGCCCCAGTTTCCCTCCCTTGAGTGACTCCACTGCCCAGACGCTTTGGTCCTCCTGGACTGTTCAGGAGGGCCTCCGCCACGGCCACCTGTACACACCCCTTCCGTGTCACCTTCCCTTTGCTCCTCGGGTCTCGGCCAAGCTATCCTCCCTTGTTTCCGGCACGACGCGTTCATTTTTTCATCGCTGCTCACACACACACACCCCCAAAAGTGGCGGAAGGGGCGGGGCTGTTGGTTTAGGAGGGCAAACTGGGGAAAGGGGAAAGGAACCTGCTGGGAGGGCCGGGGACGCGGGTGGCGCTGGCCGGGGACGCCAGGGCCCAGCCGAGGCCTGAAAGCGCCAAGCTGTGCGGAGGTGAAGGGCCGGCGCGCTCCGGCGCCCTGGGAGCTGGCAGAGGCCTCCTCGCGTCTGGAATCTTGTCTTCCGGGAGGGTGCGAAGCCTGCGCTTGGGGCCAACAAACGCCTTTATTCTAAAAACTGTGAAGTTCTCCCAAGTCGGCTGGAAACAGCCCGGGAACGGCCTCCCGACCCGAATCATTTGAAAATCCCCGAGCTGGGCTCGGGGTTAAGTACTGGTTCCGAACCCCAGCGCCAGCCTGGGCTGTTTGTTGTCTCGGGTTGCGGCCTCATTAGTATGCGCCTACGAGGGAAAAACAAGACTTCCCCTCAGGTTAATAAACAGCCGGCCTGGCGCAGGTTAACTGGGGCCTCCCTCGCCCTCTCCTGCCCCAACCCCCACACCTTTTAAGGAAACTTTTGCTTTCACGGAGCATTGCCTCCTCTATGTTTGCGGTTGAAATCTCCGTCACACGGTTTTGTCTGGGTTAATGTTTCATAAGGGACTGGCTGCCCTCGTCTACCTGCCAGGCTTTCCTGACCTAATCCTAGGGCTGAGCTCGCCCTTCAGCCTTCCCAGGACACCTTCTGAAGCCCCGGTCAAAGGTTCGGCCTCCCGAAAATCCTGGAGTGGGCCAGAGACCCCTCTCCCCGGACCCCCTCACCTCCTGCAGGCGGTGACGTGCTCCCGCACCCAATTTCAGTTGGCGAGGGGGGTAAGCTAAGATTTCGTTTCTGCACTTGACCTACCGCAGAAAATTCACAAATCCTTTGATTGTCTGTTTAAAATGAGGAGGAAACCAGCTCCCTTTGCGGCAGGATTACAGTGGGAACAAGATCTAAAGATTCTCTTGTAATTCGGTGAGGCCGAGGGAACAGGGTTTTGCAAAGGAGAAAAGGAGCTCTGTGAGGGAGGCGATAACTAAATCGGGTTTTAGACAAAAGGATTTTCCCCAGCTAAAGTGGCCGAAGACAAAGGAAAACATAATCTATTTTGGAAGATTTCCAAGATATGCCACATTAACCTTAGCAGATAAATTTTGCTTCTCCCCGCCCCCCTCTACCCTTAAAGTCTGGTTTATCATATTTACATAAGTAGTACTAGAAGGGATGTATCTATTATGGATCTGAAGGGCTAGCTCACATTTCATGTGAAAACCCCGGCGAAGTTTCACTCTTACCCTCAGTGCTTGGTTGAGCCATTTCCATTTAAATACCCCCTGACCCAAGGATTACCTCAATGGACTGACTGCACGGGTTTTGTAATTTCCTGAAAATGAGATTTCGATTTATAAAACAAGAAACCAATTAGTAACCAAATGAGGCGAAGTAGATCCACTAAAATTGACCTAATCCCACAGGCACAATTTAGGCCCGTTCTTGGCGAATGAATGATGAGCCCCAGTCTAGCGTGAGCTCAAAGCATCATCCAGCTGTGTTATTACAAGCAGCAAAAATAAATTGATCGAGCTTTTCCTTCGGAATGAATTTCATACCCTTGACAAAATATAGATTACAGACCTGGCATCATCACCTCCTTCACTCAGACAGGAAGAGGAGGAAGAGAAGAGCTTGTTCTACTGTTCTTTCCCCCCTCCCTTTAATAAATAAACTATACCTCAATAGAAATGTGTCCTCCTTATAGTAGTTCCCAGAAAGCTTCATCTGATTGACAGATCGCGATATACCTTTTAGGAATATGGGGGTGGGAAGGGGACTGAAGAGCTGTCCCAGGATCTGACCACAATTTGGTGACTACGGTGGGGAAATGCCCTCCGAGACCGCGCTCCTAACTTCGGGTCCCGGAGGGACTTGTGTCAGCCATCTGGGTTCCCTCCACCACCCCCGTCCAGCAATCTAGCGGTCTTCCTGTGAGGGCTCCGGAGGCCTCAGAAGCTGTGCTCTCTGGGGAAGAGAGGGACGGAGATTGGGCGCCCTTAGACAAGACAGAGAGCCCGGAGCGGTCACTGGGTAGAAGGCTGCTTCCCGCGGCTCGGCGTACCCACCCCCACGCCTCGGGCGCCGTGGCCCTCTCGGCTCGAGGCGCCCTCCGGCCACCTGGCGGGTGTGGCCGACCTCCAGAGGGCGACGGTAGCTGTGCGCGGCCGCGCAGCAGCCTGAACCCTACAGTGTGTGTCCTGCACTCCCCTGTGTGTTCTGCACTCCGCAGTGGCGGTGTGTACCCTGCTCTCCCTTACGCGCCTCTGAGACCCCTGGCCGCGCCCGGGGAATCTGCAAATATTAGTTATAAATCTGGGGTGGAGCCCGATGGTCCCAGCATTGATTGTCTCTGCACCCTCGCTGTGTTCTGGCCCTGGAGCTAGGGCTTCCAGGTGGGGATCGAGAATGCCGGTCAAGCTGGCCTCCGGCGTCAGAACCCGCCGCGAAGAGAGCAGGAGCTGCAGGAACCAAGGACAGGCGGGGTTCAGCCTTGTCCCAACTAAATTGTGGGACGGAAATGCACGCGGGGTTGACAATAGTGCACGCGTGACGCTGGAAAACGTCAAGCGGTGTCGCCCCAGGGCTCCACGTCTTCAAACGTGGCCGGAAGGTGCAATGCCATCGCCCCAAAGGCAGGCGCGGGTGGGCGGACAAGGCTGCCCCGCTGTTCAGGCGTATCCCGCTTGTGTTCCATTTGGCTGCCGGGACTCGACCGCCGCACTACTGTCCGCTCGGGCGGGGTCTCCACTTAAGGTTTAAACAACGGCCCGTCCTTGGGGCGGTGGCCCGGGCAGCACGAATGACAGCGGGAGCACTCCCGCACCCGCCCGGCCCCTGCTTGGGGCAGGCGCGCTGGGACGTCTTCGAACCTTGGAGGGCAGAGACCTGGTCTGGACCGTGCGGAGACTCCAGCTGGCGCATTCTCGGCTGCGGCCACCCGCGGCCGGGACAGAATGGGCCTCGCCGGGCCGACCTGGCCTGCGAGCGGCAGCAAGCAGGCTTCTCCCAGCTGCGTGCTTCGTTACGTACCAGAGGGCGGTAGAGGTTTCTACAAGGTCGCTGTCTCGGGTCTGGCCCGAGCCACCGAGGTCGAGCGACTCCGCGCAGGACCCGCCTCCCGGATGGGACTACCTGCAGAAAGTTTGCTCCACACTTCTCCAACAATGTTTTAGTACTAAGTAGCAGGCCCCTTGCTAAATACTTGAGGGCTCTCCTTCCCTACGCAAAACTTAAAATTCCATGAATCAGAGACCGGCAATGGGTGGACAGCTAACATTATAAGGTGTTAGCTGGGTCTAAACTTCATTCTATTGAGAAATACCTGGGCCGACATAGAGCCAGAATCCATGGGTTCGAATTGTGTCCACATTTGCGTCTGCAAATCTCCAAGCTGCCGAGATTTCCCCCGGGATTGAAAAATAACTCCCCTAGAAATCATGTTTGTCCTCTGGAAAATTAGCCTGATTTTAGCTTCAGGTGTGTGATTGTACCCTGCTTAAAAGCATCTCGCCATAGCTTATAATGTCCTATTTCGCTGTTGTTATTGTTTTTATTAGTGACCGTCCCCTTTAAAGAAAAAAAAAAGTATTTTTTTCATTGATCTAATCTACAATTTCTAGCACATAAATCTGCCTTGCAAGTGCTCTGTGCAGAGGTTAGTTCTGCCCTCTACATTTTAAGTCAACATCAAAACTGGAATTAAACAGAGAAAACCAGCGTGGAGCGTAAACTGGGCTTAAAGGCTTTTAAATGAGAAAAACTTCTGTAAGAAAATAAACATGGAAACCTAATGCTCAATCATTTCCCCGAGCAGCAAGAAAAACAACCTTAAATCACCCATCCACGTGGGAAATGGGGCCTCTTCTTCTCTTTCAGTTCTCGGCCTCAAAAAAATATAAGGCGATTAAGGATTTCAATCTTGAGGTGAATATTATAGAAGGGGTCTGTGGAGGTTTGTTTAATCATCCTTGTCCTTCCAGTCTTTGTAGAGACTCGCTTTCCTGCACAGTGACTAATTTCATTTCTGTGATTATTTTTATTTTCCCAGGACATCTTGACAATGAAATGGTAGTGTGATGTTACCAAGATTCTCAATGGCTATAGATTTGAAAACATGTCTGATCCTTTCAAAGGTTATTCAGCAAGCCACTACGCCCCCAGCTAAAACCTGTATTATATCTGGATAACAAATACATATTTCTTTTTAGTTGAGTTTGTCTTATTTTGCACACAAGGCACACCATCTCTCTTTTTTATCCTGTCTTTCTAGCTTTGATAACACCAAAGACTCATACATTTCTCAAGTTTTTTCTTTGCAAGGCTATTTTAGAATGGAATATGCTGCCAATGGGAGATACGCAGTTTTAATGATTTCACAGTAATCTTCCCTGTGTTTTTTTAAGTATGAAGTCTCCAATCTAATGCTTTATTCTTAATTATTCCAGGCACCCATATCCCGTTCCTGTGTTCCCAATCTCTCTTTCTCTCTCATTTTTTCTTTCAACAGCTCAATTTTATCCACTCAGATAAGTAAAAACTGAAGTTTGCCCCAGACCAGGAATCTACCAGAACCTGGGGAAGGGGGGAGCTATATTTAGTGATGGGGAATTAGCTATATTTTAAGTATTTTTTTATGTCTTTCAAATGTAAGTATGGAAAGATTTCTGTGTGTTGATTTAAGCCTTTTGATATTACCTGGGTATTGTAGATGAAATGTAATCTGAGCCAAAACAGTGGAGTTTTATAGTCATCCTTGTGCTTATAACTAAGATGTCATCAGATTTATAATTATTTTAGATTATATACCTTGCAAAATCCATATGTTACATGTGACAGAATGCTTACCATGATGAAATAGCTATCATTTACTCCATCCTTAGAACAAAATTTAAGACCTACTATGTGCTAGAATGGCATCAAGATAGGTGTAAACATGAACTACAGCTTCAAATTCTTTCTATTTCTCATCACTAAAAAAAGGTTACCTCCACATAAAGTGCCCAGTTTCCCCTACTGTCATGGGCCCAGTTTGGTCTACTCTTCTGCCTTCAGTCCACACCTGAACCCAAATCTGGCACCCTCTGCAGGTTGTGCCTGGTTTTGCTGCTTGTGGTTTTTTCACTCCTTTGAAAGATGTTGGGTTTTTTGTGGTTTTTTTTGTTTTGTTTTCTTTGGGGTTTTGTGTGTGTGTGTGTTGTCGTTATTCTTCAATATTTTAAAGGGCTTTAATATTTTAAAGGTTGTCTGGGTTTTGGATTTTTGAAGCTAATCTATCCTTAAAATTAAAACTTCATCCCTAGGAGCCAGCTGTTCGGATAACCCTTCTAACTCACCGGGTGGAGACTGCGGGTGAGTTATGAGCTCAACAGTAGCTGGAGAAATAAATGATGTGCCCAGAGTTCACACATCGTCCATCCCCTCCTCCCCATAAACTCACACTAGTCCACCGGAGAAGGGAGAGGAGGGAGGGGCCCGGGGCTCCGGAGGAAAGTGAAGGGGGCTGCAGAAAGCACAGTCGTAGTTAAAGTAGCCACAGGGGATCCGCCCGGCCACCAAGGGAACTCCAGGGGGCGGTTGGGGGGGGGTTCTTCGCCAGTGCTCTCTTTAAAAATATAAGAAGTTGGCTAAGAGAGTTTACCTTCTGTTCCTCCTATTTACCACGCGATTTATAATTTGTGGAGTTAGCACTTATTTAAGACAGCTTGCTCTCTTAGAAAACAAAACCAAAACAACAAAAAACCAGCCCGCAACCCTCCCGGCCGCGCCAGCCCGGGTCTGCGCGACAAAGACCAGCGCCCCCGGCCCGGCAACTCCCTGGGCGCTCCTAGCCCTCGTTCTGTGCCCGCCCGGGAACGCCGATCCCCTATTCTTTTCCTCCCGCGATTACTCGCAGCCCCACAAGCAGCACCATATGCTTCTTCTGATCAAACAGCGAGCGACATCGGCACCGATAATTGACGAGACCCGCTAGAAATCACGCAGAAAGGGAACCCACTGAGACCGCAGGGGCTGACAAATCACTGCTAATAATCCTGTTAGGAACAGCGCGGCCAGCCGAGTTCGCAATAGCTTTATTTTTATAAAGTAGGCGCTGACAGTATAAAAGACAACGAAATCTCTTTTTTTTTTTAAACAGAAGGCAGTGTAGCATAATAGTACTTTTCCCACCAGCATTTCTCAGCACAGTTTGAATGGGAAATATGGTTTTTTAATATATAAGTTCCCCCCTTTTCTTTTCTTTCTTTTTTTTTTTTTTAACTTTTCAGGAACTTTAGGTTTTGATTCCTCTCTTCCTGTGGTTTCCAGGGTCATTTGAGATTGTTCAAGGAACTGCTTTAAGACAAAGCAACTATAACACTACTTGTAGTTCTGGGGTAAAATTGAACTATAATTTGAAAGTTTTCCTTTAGTGCTCCTGGCTAATTTGTCGACACGTTTTGCAAGATTTTGATTCAGATAATAACTTCTAGTCAAGATCAAACAAAGTGAAACTCCATGCCCAATAATGGCTATTTCCTTCCCCCTATTTCCTTAAAAGAAAACAGCAGACCCCAAACACCCAAAATCAACAATAACATAAACCTCTGTGGGTCAAATAAGACATTCTGGTTTGTAAATAAACAGGGTTCTTTCTCTTGGAATTTTTTGTTTGTTTAGTATTCTCTCCTTTATATTCCCCAATCTCTCTCCTCTAGCAAAAATGTATCTTAAATACTTTTTAAAAATCTGTACATATTATTTGAATGTGGGTAAAGGAAAGGATGGGGAGATGGAAGAGAGAAGTATCCTTTTCCTAGTGAGTATAAATGATTTTATACAGGACAGTGTTCTTTGACAGCTGCTCTGTCCTCACACAGTGAATCTTGATAATCTAAATACATGTTTTAAATCATGACCAGCTCAGCTGTTCTTCCTTCTAGGCCTTAAAAGACAATTTTCCCAGGACTCGTTTGCCAACCTGCCACCTAGAAGATATTTTCCACGCGGGCTAGTCTTCTTGAGTCAACCTTTAGTATTTGGGTCCTAGCCTATTATCTCAGAGATAATATCAAACTCAGAGTTGCAAATCATTAAGCCCCAGAGTTAGTTTCAGAATGTGTGAATGTCTCAAAAACTCAGAATAAATTTGCTATAAGCAGTCAAGAGACTGGTAAATTCAGGACAAATTTGTTCATAAATATGCCTGCTTCTCTTCTGCAGAATTATAAACTTGGAGAGAAATTATTTTCTAGCTTAGCTAGCTCCATGTACATGGGTCTGTCTATATGTAGCAAAATACAAGAATTTGGCAATGTTCCTGCCTTCTGCTAGATACAATTCTAACAAGAGGAATTAAAAAAAAAAAAAAAAAGAGTCATGTTTGGATTACTTGTACTTTCAGTGGAGCTCAGTATCTGAAGTGTTGACAAAAGCACTGTTGGGCTGCTTCCCAACCAAACATATCCGATGGACTGGAGAGAAAGTAGTAATGGGGAAGTAGAAAGGGCCACAAAAAGGCAACAGGAATTCTAAGTTCAGAGAGGTCCTTAGTCAAGCAGCCATGCTAAACTTCCCTTTGCAGAGAGTATGTATGTATGTGTGAGCGTACGCCTCTGTTCAGTGGTGTAGGCTCACTCACTGGCAAACCTTTACCCCTTCTGCCTTTGAAATCCCATCTGGGCAGAGTCACTTACCTTCTGGGAACACTACTCTCATTTTGAGATAGCTGGTGGTGAGTCTGATTATGGATGCTTTGTCCAGCTGCGAGGTGATAGCCGAGGGCAAAGGCAGTAATTTAGCCAGTTCATAAAATTCACTGTTTTCCTTCTCCCTCCTAGTCCGGGCAGCATTTTTGGACTTCTCTTTCATTGTGTCTTGTTCTCCCTTTCTTCTTACAGCATAAACTCCACAGATTCATCCAAAAGCAACAATAAACTTTCAATTAGAGATCATATTTGGCAAAAATATAAAGCACACTTTGAATGAAAAGACCGAAGTCTTTGCTTCAGTGTATTGATGTCAGTGAAAGACCAACGCAGCAAACAGAAAATGATTTTCTTTAAAAATAGGGGACGTGAATGTAGGAAAGTTGCTGATCCAACGGCAATCTGGACAATCCTAGGCGTCTCTGAGTATCAAATGCCGGCGGGACCCCTGAGAAGCCAGCCTTTTCTTCTGTTCGGCGAGGCAAACCCCGGTCCCCAGAAGATCGACATAATAATCCCCGACGTTTGCTCTTCAGTCCCGCGGCGTTTGAGGCGGTTCCGAGCCCCTTTGGGAAGAACAGGAATGCCGGGCAACTCTTTCAGGCCACTGTGAAGACAACAGCATCAGAGCGTAAGAGATCTGCAGCTCCGCAATCACTCATGCACTCGCCCGAATTCCGAAAAACGGCCGGAAAAGGCCTCAGCTCGCCTCAGCGCGCCTCTCCAGGCTCCGCGTTTTTGTTTTTGTTTGTTTGTTTGTTTAAGATATGGAGGAAGGGGCGAGACTGAGCCCCCTGCAAATAATGCTCCCATTCCCTCATCCATGCCAGCCACATTCTCCAGCCCCCTGGGAAGTTGCCCAAATAACAAAATACATATTTTTGAAGACCCTTAGAAGACCCTCAGTCGCCGGTCCCCGTGCCTGTGCCCAGGCCAAGCGCATGTCCCAGGAAAGCAGGTTTCCACAAATCAGAATTCCTCCACAGCGCCGAGGCCGCCTTTCTGTCCCCCCACTTGGGCAGATCTGGAATTTGGCTACCTCTCTAACTTGGGTCTCAAGTCTCAGGGATTCCTCAAAAAGTGGCACTTACACATCAAGTCCCTCGGGACTCCCAAGGCGACCCAGGGCTCTCCCTGCCCAGCGGGGGCGGCAACACGCCGGGCATGGCAGCGCCAGGTTAACAGGTGGCACATTCACGACAGCCCCTCGCAGGCATGGGGAGGGGGGAGGTGGGAGGCGTCCCGGCCTGTCCCCCTCCGCCGCAGAGCCGCGGGTGCCTCTGGGCGGGCGCAAGGTGTCTTCCGCTTCACCTACCTTCAATCCCCGCTGGCGGCAAAGCGTGCAGAGGCGCGCACCGCTTAATTGTACTCATGCCTACCATCCAACTCCGCCGGCCTCTCGGCTTCCCACCGGCAGAGAGGAGCAGAGCGCGCCCTGGCTCCCTTTTCTTTTCTTGGTCATGAATTGGGGAAGGGGTGCGTGGGAGAACGAGGGGGATGCAGGATTTGGCACGGGTGAGGTGGTTTTAGAATCCTCCTCCTCGGTAGTTGCTACGAAGCCAGTATTATTCCTAACTGGAAGCCGAAAACGCCCCCCTGTAACTTCTTTATAGCTCACCGGGTTTAGCTTCAACTTCACTCCCGGGCTCCCTCTCTCCCGCCCTCCCTTAATGCCACTCACAAACTTCCTCGCCTCCAATTGGCTCGGCTTGCCCCGGGGAGAGGCCCTCATTGGCCGGCCGGGCTGAGTGACGCGAGCACGACCCGCACCACCCCTTGCGCGCCCCTGCTCGGGGCTCGCTCTGCTACCCGCGTGGCTGCAGCGCTCCCGACGAGCCCTGGACACCGGTGGCGGCGCTGCCCGGCAGCCGCCGCTGCTCCCGGCCTCCAGGGGCCTCGCGGGTGATGTTCAGGACCCTCGCTTCCCGCTCTCCCCGGGGTCGAGTGGCTGCGCTCCCAGCCCCGAGACCTGGCCCCGCTGTGCCGGGCGCGTCCGAAACCCGCGGGCTGCGGCCTGAGGCCGCAGAAGTCTGGCCGGGGGGCTGGGGTTCCTGGCGACGAGGCTGGAGTCACCCAGACTGCGGGCGCGAGCGGCCCAAAGGCCGACCTGGCGGCCGAGCCATTCCCATGGGGCAAGTCGCGGGGCCCACTGCTTGCGCGGGGCCAGTGTTGCGCTTTCTCTCTCACGTTTCTCTGAAACCACAGCGACACTGAATTCATCGCCAGAGAAGATACATATACCTGTCTTTAATCCCAAAGAGGAGAGTCTTTTTCGAAATGGCTCGAGTTTGGGGGCTGATTTGTTCACCGTGGAAAGCTCAGCGGTGGAGTTGTCCTATGGGGAGCAGATAGGGGACTCTAGAGGAAAAGAGGTGAACATTTCAGCACAAAATAGAGTTAGGTAGAGTGGTTGATACATAGATAGATATCTCACAACAATCTGTTATCTTAAACGAGCGAAGATTTTTGTTGTTGTTGGGTTTTGTTTCAGGAAACACAAGTCCAATGTGATATTCCTTACGAAAGGATACATTCTGCATCAATAAATTTACAACATTCACAGTTTCCCCAACAGGACTCATTTAAACAAACGCTTGTAAGTACTATCGCTGACAAATTATATTTAAGAGACCCTCTGATTTGAATCTCTTGTCTTCTGTCATCTGAGGAAAGACAGCAGATAGCAACGGGGAAAGTTGACTTGCCCCCCCCCCCAAATAATTACTACTACTTGGAATCACTCCCTACAAAGGCGATTCCCCGCATGTTTTTTGGTGCAGCTGATGACCACCATTCTCCTCCTGGAGGTGCACTTGGAGGCAGTTGTTTCATCGGCGGTAAAAGACAGTAAGAACACCAGTGACGTTGCACTCATCCTCTCCTTTGTGGCCGTAACTGCCGCCAAGAAAACATATACTGTGAAGAGGGGTTGTGCCATTTTTTCTGATATTCGGAACAACTTTAAGAGTGTTCAGAAATACAGACATCTGCAACTTCCTTGCTGCCCAATGGCAGTAACCTCGCAGAACGACAACGGGAGCTTTCTGGGGATATTTACACATCTGGGAAGCACCTGGCAAGAAGAGGTGAACGGTCTGGATAGAAAGAATAAGACAAAACGAAACATATAGATTTTACAGGTGTTTCAAAACTGGAATCAAGCTGATAGGCTCCAATCTAGAAGGAGTCATTTCCCCAGAGGCTGGGGACACTTAGAGACCCGGCTCTGGGAGGGTTCCGATCTCCAAGTGATACACTCCTAACAAGAGAGGAGTAAGAATACTGAGAGCGATGTAGTGTGGCTCTCTTACACACGACATTCCAGGAAGACCAGATAAGATCAAGTTAACTACTGCATTTAAAGAGAGAGGGTGTGTGTTTGGGAAGGGTGAAAAAAACCTTCTGTGACCCTTCTCCCCCCCCCCCCCAAATCTGGACACATCTTACGGGTAAATGGAGGGGTCAGGCGCAGCAATGGCACTTTACAGAGTTAAGCAGTTTTCTATTCTGACTATGTTCTGGAAAGGATGTCGGTTAAGTCACTGGTTACTTAAACCCTACCTCTCCTTCAACAACGTGCAGGTGTATTAGTGCTTCATTAGGATCTGAAACCCTTGCCCACGGCAGAGACACCCTGGGGCGTCAGGAGGGGCCCCGCTCCCCATACAATAGAGCGTTTCACCGGAAGAAAAGCAGTATTTTGCTCTCAGAAGCAAAATGGGCAAAATGAGTAGGTAGGTCTTCACACCAAAGATGACGTCCTGGGGGGCCCAGCGGGCTGTTCCTGCGTCCCAGTGAAACTCAGTAGTCGATGAACCGAGTAGATGTTTAATAAACAAAGTGAATGCACGGCCATGTGGGGACGGCCCCCTCGCTAAGTCCTCCGCACACAACTGTCTGAGCCGCGTTTACCGAGTGAGTGAATTAGCATGGCGACGTAACACCTGTTTTTCTAATCTTTGAACCTAGGCTGAAGCCGGAATGCGGCTCCTGCGTGCCCTCCCCCGCCCGGGTGCGGGGACCCGGCCTCACACCCTCCCGGCGACCCCGCGCGCCGGCCCCGCAGGAGCATCGCGCCAGCGAGGGGCGTGAACCGGACCCGCAGGTGTCTCCCACGTGTTCGGAGAATTTGCGTTCGCCTCTAGCGTGAGAAATTTTAAAATAATTTCTTGAGCTTAAGAAGCTAGTCCTACCCACTTCTTTGCCAAAAAGTAAGGGGGAAAGCCCCGGGAAAGAAAGAAATGGGCGCATGCGACCCAGCAACACCAAACAAGAATCCTAAGGCCGTCTAGGCCGCTGCCTCCTTGTGCGAGTACCTCTGGCGCGGGGGCACTGTCTACGCAACCACGGAACGATTTCCTAATGCGGGAAGAAACCGGGGCCTCTTTGTAAACAAATATCTTCCTCCTTTCCTCGGTCAAGGAGGGCAAACAGCAAAGTTGAACCCCCGGGCGTCTCTTCTACCACGGAGGCGACCCCAGATGCTGCCCGCATGGAGCCCTCCTTTTCAGTGCGCTCGGAGAATGTGACGTGCGGCCGCCCAAGGCTCTAGATTAGGGGGCAAGGCGTGCCCGCTGCGGCGGATCTGAGAGCCAACGCGCCTGTGCGTGCGGAGTCCCGCGCGCCGCGCGCTCCCGGAACCAAGAGGAGGGGGCCTCCGAGGGCCGCCGGACCCCTCCCAACAGCAGGCAAAGTCCAGACTAGAGAAGCTAAACCTCTGGGCTGGGAAAGAACCAGAACGCCCAGCGGAATTCCGGTGCAAACTACGGAGCTGGGTTTCAGCGAACTGGCCCCGACCTGGGCGCATTGTGATGCTGACCGTGCCCAGGCACGGACTTCTATCCTGCCTTCTGGTAACTCCTCTCTGCGCCCAGCTGCTTCAGCGTCTTAGCAAAACTGGAGTGGTTTCTGTCGCCCCTTCCTTGCTCCCATAACACACTTTTTTGTTTTGTTTTTACGGACTGCTAGGAATGCATACATGTACTTTTACTCGCTTTCACATCACATATACACATTTGTGCAAAGCACACAGGCACGGATTTTGCTCACTGGCCAAGGTCAGGATGAATGATACATTTATTTATAATCTGAAGATAGTCACCTGAATATCTCAGTTATATCCAGATGTTCACCCCCTACCATTGAGAAGGAGAATTTATCTAG